TTTCCCTCCCATCACAGTAGTGATGGATTAGTTTGGGGGAATGGTAACATATTTTGGTTTTAATATTTCTCCAGTTTGTGGCTGCCCTGAGAATTTGCTCATACAGTATAAACTACTTTTGTGGCACTGAAACTTACTTTGCTATTCCAGTGACCTTGTTTCCTTAACACAAAGAAGTGCTCAGAAAGCAAAGATTCTCTGTTGAATTCCACACCTTCAGCTGTCGATACCCATTCCTCTCTTGCTTTTGAAGGTGGTGAGATTTTTGACTTGATGGCATCTGTGCAGCAGGAGCAGGCATGCTCTGCAGTGTGTTCATGACAATGATGTAACGATATATTGCTCCCAAGTCTCAGTTCTTTTTGCTTGACATAGAATATTTTTTTGTCCTTCTCAATCTTGCACAGTTTTTCATAACATTTTTTCAAGTTTTAGTTAGTACTTCTCTAGCTTTTCCTTTGTTGCCTACATGCAGAAGAAAAAGGGGCAAGGAATAAAATTCCAGGAAAACCTCTCCTTTTCCCAAAAAAACCTTAGGCTTTGAATTTCCCTTTTCAAGCATGACCTCATCGAGATTTCCAAGCTTCACGGTCTTCCCCTGTTGTGATGGAGTGCCAGGGATGGACACACCAAGAATCTTTATTGCTTTGGAGAAACTCTCATTCTTTTTCCTGGCACAGACAATCCATTAAACGGGCAAAATATAAATGTAGAAAGAGGATTATTCTGTCACAAGATAACACAATTATAGTGTTCTCTGTATTTAATGCAGGGCTGATTTGGTGCCGAACAGAGTACTGAAACCTATTCTGTTATTGTTCCAGTCTCTTCTTACACACAAATTAGTATTGGTTTAAAGAGGTCTAGTCTATTAAATTTAGGGTCATACAGTGTACATTCTGGTAACCAGAAATTAAGATGAGACTATTGTACTTGAAAATGCACATATATGGAGACATTGTGGCCTTGAATTCATTGCAGTATGTAAATTCCCATAAATTTTTTGTTAGCTGATATTTTGTGTACATGTGATCAGTGGATTATTTTGCAGTTATGTTAGAAAATATATTGCATATCGAACCATTCAAAGTTAGTTTATGTATATATTTTAGTGCTTCATTGCCTGTTTTTTATTTTGTTTTATTTTGTTCTCAATTGATAAATTTAATTGATTAGTTGGTACATTTTTTGGTTGATAAAACATTGCTTTTTGATACTGACATCATTTGACTTTCACTTGGCTAATAGAAAGCAGGTTATAATGTATATATCAGCATATTTGTTGTTAACTTTGTCTGTACATTTTCAGAGACAGATGTATATACTTTTGGACTTGGACAATATGGGCAGCTGGGACATGGTACTTTTATTTTTGAAACTTCAGTACCAAAGTCTGTGAAACACTTGAGGAGGCATAAAATATGTAACATTACATGTGGGGAAAATCATACTGCTGTAATTGCAGGTATGTAAGTGAAAAATTCTGAGATGCACTCCAGTGGCTTTCTATTATACTGTAAAAGCTTTCTTTATAAAATGAGCAGTAGAAGACAACATATGCAGACTCACTAGTTCTAAAGGTTAAGTGAGCTAGTGAGAAAGCTAGATTTGATAGTAGGAATTTCTGATTCGCAGCCATGCCATGCATAGTTCTGTACATGGTATCTCCTGGGGAATTGTAACCTCATAATCATGCCTTGTGAACAAGGATTCTTATTTAGAAGCCTTGGTTTTGCTATACAATTTCAATCTTAGTGCTTTGTTGTTGGTTTCTTTTTTCCAAAATTGTCTAGACTAACTCTAATCTCCGACAGTACTTTGTCTGAAAATATATATATTTTTGGATCATATTCATCTGTTGAAAATCTGAAAAAAAATTTTCAGGTTTTGCTTTTGGAAGAGAAATATTCTTTACTTGCATGGCCTGTTACTTTGTTTGTAATGGTTTTGTCCTGGTTTTGTACTGAATCTTTGTTATTAACATCCTCTTTTTTTTCTATATACAGAGAATGGCCTCATGTTTACTTTTGGAGATGGGCGACACGGCAAGTTAGGACTTGGAGAAGAGAATTTTACAAATCAGTTTGATCCCACTCTGTGTTACAATTTCTTGAGGTTCACAGTCCTTTTGGTAAAACTTTTGTTCGTGCTTCTCAGACATCAAAACGTTTATATTTTTATGCAACACGTTATTAATGAGAGTTGAAGTGTCATTATAGAATTATTTTTTCTACAACATTTAATTAGTAGACAACATGAATTGAAAGAAAAAGGAAATTATATTTACTTATCACACTGTTCATTTAGTTTAGAATGTACTTGGCTTGGACTACACATATAGACTGCTTTTTAGCGTTTTATTCAGTTGTGTTGTGCTATAGTGTTTTGATCTGTAGAGCTGGTGGTAGCCTATAAAATTAAATATTTGTTGCTCTTAAATTGTTGGCAGTAGGGGGGGGAAACTAATATCTGTTCTGAAAACATCTTTTTAATTTTAACGATTATGTGTACAATGGGATATTTATTAAATCTTAAGAAAATTTGAGGAGTTGCTTTTTTGAATCCAAATGGGAAGAGAAAGGAGAAATACTATTTTCTTTTAAGGGCATTGTTTTAATCTATTTCCTGAGGTGTTTAAGAAATAAATATCACAGAATTGCCAGTATCAAAAATGCAAACATGACTTAGGATTGAGCAAAATTTGGGACAAAAGTCTGTGGCTCACTTCTGTTTGTTTACTGGACTTAGAGTTTAAGGAAGTTTTATGAGAAGTGGTAAGGGATTTAAACTTTTTAGAAAGTGAAACCTGTGATCTTTATGTAATTTTACTTTGTCTATTGGAAGGTGTAGGACTTTGCATTACATTTTGTGGATTTTGTGATAAAATATATAGGTTTGTATCACTGAAATTATCAGTATTGCCCACATTTGACTTGCATCAAAATAATTAGCTCAAACCCCTTCAAAATCTTTGCTTTCTTCTGTATCAATAATTTGATAGACCTATCTTTTGTTCTGTTAAATACAAATATGTTGTATTTAAGTAAGAAGAAATGAATATAGATCACTAGTCATTAATAATTGTAATTATGTACTTTTATCTTGCTAACATCATTAGGAGCTAAATTTGAAGCAATTTAACATCTCTTACTTCTGTTATGTTTTTCTTATAATCTAAGTCCTTAGAGATGATTGTAGGAAAATTAGATCCTTGTATTGATACTTGCAAATGAAATAAGCAGACTTTTTTGGTGCTGTAGGTTGCTTGTGGTGGTTGTCACATGCTAGTTTTTGCGGCTCCAAGACCTAAAGGATCTGAAGAAATACTCTTAGATGATTTATATGAGAGCCGTTTGACTGCTACTATCTCTAAAATGAGTGGAGACTCACTACTAACAAACACCTTACAACTGACATCAGCACGAATGCGACGTCGAGAGAGGGTAAATTCAGAGCTGTTTAGAGCTGCCATACTTGTTTTAGGGAGCAAAATAACTTTTTAAACTAAAATCTCAGCATATACCCAGCAGATAAATATATCTCCTTAAAATACATTTTTAATTTTAATGTATAAAAAGAAGAATTAATATCTACACTGGTCCCAAAATTGATACAGGTGAAAGACAGATATTGGTCAGATTTTACTTGTTTATTTCTATGAAAAAGACTCAAGTTTGTTTTGTATGTTTTTTTATTCTAAAATGTAGAGCCTGTTCCTTTGCATTTTTAAAAATATCTTAGGAATATTTAAAAAAAGAACAAGAACTTGACTCTTTTTGGTGTTACCTCTGAGTCCTTGAATAGATTAAACAAGTTCATAGTTTATAAAATATCAAAGGGGAAAGTTTCACAATCAGCTTAAAATGATCCTAAGATCCTGTAGCTACTTAAAATAGTAGTTTCTTCTCCTTTATCTCCACTAAACATTCCATGTGATTTCTTTAGCAGCACAATGAGTTGGATCATTTCACTTACCTATCTGAAAACTAACTCTACCACAAAACCACATTTATTTTGTAAAAATATATTGATGCTGTGGATTAAGTAACTCAGTGTTATTTGAGAAACTAGCATTTTCATTTTAAATAAAAATCAAAATTCTTTTTATCCTTTGTCTGTATTTTAAGACTGCTTGAGATTATTGTGTAGAAATGACCTAAAATATCCCACTATATCTCTCCACCTTTTATAAATAATTAAAATATTCAAGAAATTTTATTTATGCTTTGCATACAAAGTTACAACACTCGATTGTCAACTAAAGGAAAATACCACTGTTAAGTATGAGAGGTTGCTTACATTTTATTCTTCTACTCTTATTCTCAAAAATTTTTTTTTGATCTTCTAAAGGAAAAGTCACCAGAGCAGTTTATTCGAATGGCACAAACTCTGCCTCCACTGGGAGAAAGCTTCTTGAAATCTTCATTGCCTGTGACTAGTAACACTAGCCCACTCTTATTTTCTGCAACAAGTCTTCCTAAAGCTGAACCTGTGAAGGATAGAGACCATGACAAAGGTGAAGTGTCCCCACATTTTGTTGCCGTTTTCTAAGAATTATGTAGTTTGGCTCTCATCATTCATAAACAAATGCTCCATTTGAACATGAAAGAAGATTTAAGTTCAGTCTTACCTCAAGAGGGTCTGGCAGAATACAGACATGAAAGTTGAGAAAAGCATACAAGAAGTTGCCTCACACTTAGTTCACGTTTGGAAAATGTGCTTAAAGAATTAGAGGAGGGTTGAGTGAAAGAAAAACAACTTCTGAATTGTACCTGAGGTTCCTCAAACCTGTAGAAATATGACTTCACCAAAATGCTGTAAGATTAGTAACCACTTACCACTTTCTCCATTTTCACAAAAAAAAAAAAAAAAAAAAGAATTACAGAAAAAATTTATTAGGAACAGTAGTAAAGACACAGGAAGGCCTAAAAGAGACTTTGGATAAGAAAAGAGGTCTACTAATTGTTATAGGAGCTTTCTTCTTCACTTGGAAATGCGAAAGTACTCTTCACTCTCTCTTATCTAAGATAATAAGGATTTGCAATATTCTAGCTACTGCAAAAGCCTGGATAACAATGATACTGATACAGTGCTGGACTTTTGCACAGATTCTCTAGAGCAGTTCTGGACTTCATCTGGGTTCCTGGGCATGTGTGATTTCCTGGGAAGAGCAGTGCTGAAGAGTGCAGAATGCAGTGCTTCTGTGCAAAAGTTAGCTCAGATTTATTGGACAGTCAAATTCAATATGAAAGTAATTAATTCAGTTAAAATTAAGATGATTATTTGTAAAGCTGCCAGCATGTCTATTAGCATTTCTGGTTCCAGGAAAGCAATGCAGTGAAATTTGAATTCCCTTTAGAGTCTTCTGAGGCCTAAAACCTCAGGTTTTGTGCCATATGAAACTGGTCATATATCTGATGAAGTTGAGGTGCACCTGAAAATGATGTAGGTACATTTTTATGATGCTGCATTGGAGTTAAACTCACTGCCTCTCCATCCATTACACAGATAATGTGCAATGTAGATAATATGACTGCAGCTCATTTAGTCTAATTGGTACACTATTATTAAAGAGATTATCCAAAAGAAGCTTTGTCCCATGTAATATTTATGCTTTGAAAGCCTGCAAAAATGGTCGGAGATCTACAGTGCACTGAGGCCAGATTGCTGAGCTAATGTTAATACTGATGAAAAGGAGGTGGAAGTGTTTCTGCTGTGTCTTAGGCTGGGGGAATGAAGAATCTCAGGACTTCAGTCCTATGTCAGTAAAATAGATATAATCTCTGTTTTACAAGAGTGGGGTGTTCTGTTTGCTATATATTGCTTGTTCCTATGGTATTTGCTTACTTCCCCCTATTTTACCTTAAAGAAAAGAATCATCAAAAAGATAAACCTGGTGAAGGCTCTGGAGAAGAAGATTCAGATAATGAAAATAATGACAGAAACCTTGGAGATACAACTGACATCCTAAATATGGTAATATATTCCACTAATGAATCTGTGATTCAATCGTTTTTATGCAGGGGAAGAACAAAGCAGCTAAATCATGTTTCAAGATCTAGTACAGAACTCCTGGCTAGCCCAGAACGTCATATGTGGCATCAGGAAGTACTGACATACTGTTAAATGAGCATGCATTTCACATCATCATTATCCAATGCTAAAATTTGTTTTCATTTTCCAAGTAATGTTGTAATATGAGATTGAAGCAGTCCAAGTAGTGCAGCCCCTCCCCACACTTTAGCTCTGGATATCAGAAAGAAAAGGAGAAGGATGCTGGATACCACATGGTGATCTCTATCTCTGACCTTCCTCATCTTGATGATTTCCAAGAGAGAGGACTGCAGGAAATGAAGCAGAGAGCTGTCTTTTCCTGTTCCAAGAAGAGCTTTTTTAGTACAGGTGGATCATATTAAAGGGAAGACCAAAATGCAGACATTTTGATTATTTGGTGATCTCCAAGCATGTTCCTGCATATTTCCCTTATTTAAAAAATATGTTCACCTTATCACTTCTACACCTTTTCAAAACATTTTGTTCTCTTGGCAGATAGGGCATGTCCTGGCCTTAATGCAGTGCACAGTGTTAGTTTTTCTCTTTTTTTTTTTAACTTCAATGGAATGGAAAAAAAATGAGCAATTCACTGTGGACTCCGCTCAGGATATGTTGTCAGTTATGCTGGAGAGATTGCACATTTTACAGGAATTATTACTTGTTTGTACTTAACAGTACTTAGTAATTTAACAATCTGTGCATACCATTTATTTAACAGTTATAAAACTTTATATTCATTTACAAGAAAAAAAATGTTTTCCGATATGATGCATAACATGGCCTTCATTATTTATAACATATTGCACACTTTTTGTGCTAGACTTCCTTCTCCTTTTTGTTTTTGTACCCATTGTGAATCAATTTTAAAACATTTATCAGAATGAAACAGTAAATTTGAAAAATTCTGTCAGGCAAACTTGGTCTTCTTGAATCTGAATGAAAATAATCTGTTACAGCATAGTTGTTTCAATTTTTCTGAACTGTGGCAACATACATCTTATTGACCAGTGTGACAAGAGGAGGAAAAACCTTTAATATCATATTGACAATAAAAATTCTTGAGAGTCAGAAACCAGAACTGTCCATGCTCACTGTGTTGAAAAAGAATATGGTGGTTAAACCATAAGTAGTTAATAAACAGCAGCAGAAAACATTATCTTCTCATTTGGAGTATATGGGAAGGGATGACCAAAATCTCACTATATTTGCCCACCTAGTGGTATCCTTCTACATTGTCTTGCCTTTTGATTTTTTTTTTTTGCTTTATATAGAAGAGATAAAGATAGTAGATTTCAATGAAAATTTCTGCTGTATAATGTTCCTTTGAACATGTTCTTTCAAGGCTGTGGTGTCAAACTGGATGTTAAGTTGAAGGTTGTGATGATAAGGGAATAAGGTGTTATATTTGTAGCCACAACTTCACGGTGAGTGGAAGGTGGATCTAAAATGTTCTGGTGAGCTGTAAGAGGGGGCATGTAGCTTTCAGTCTCTACAGACAGTTTAGATGTTGACATCTAAGCTGGTTACCACTCTCTCTCTTTATAAAGAATAAATGAGGGAGTGGAAGTGAAATAGGTGAGTTGAGTGATCATACAGGTTTGTCTCAACCTGACTGTGCAATAGTATTAAAATGTTCATATAATAGCTCTGTTTAGTAGAACTGGGCTCTGATGTTGCTTTCCCTATTAGTTATATTTATTTTTTTAATAGAGGTCTTATTCTTTGCAGACACATGCAATGAAATTGAATCCCAGTGACCAGTCCTTAAAATTATCACCACTCCAAAAGCAAAAGGTACTGTAACTAATTATATATATCCACGTTTACGTATGCTGATGTTTAGAAGATCTGTAATTTTTGTATTATGCATGTACTTATTGTTTTGCTTTGAGTTTTAAAAAAGCTAGGCAAATTTTATAGGCCTCCTCTTGATAATTTTCTGAATATCCGTGAGGTAAAATTCTAAGAAGCTGACAGAACTCAGAGAGAATTTGTGCATGCACATAGAACTCCTCATATCCAGCATAGTTTGAGATGAGAGTATGTAATACTTTACCGGTTTAAGGAACAAAAGACTGTCATACACACATTGTAACTTATGCTGATAACATACATTTCTACTGGTTTGTTGATATTAAAATATTTTAACTGACTTTTGGGACACAATGTAGGTAAAGATTTTATTTACAGAAATTCACCATGGAGTATATTTAAAGGAGCAATAATATTGGTTTTAATTATGAAACTAAAATACTTCTGTATTATCTTTCTATTTCACTCCTAAAGTGATCCCAGCATTTCAACATTTTGGTATATTTCATTATAATTTTATTTTATACTTTAAAAATTATTTTGCAGAATATGTTTAATAAGTGTAAAATTTAAAGCAGAAAGACAACAGATTTTCAGACTTATTAGAAAAAGCATAACAGTGAGTGCATCAGAAGATTTCCCAAGGGGAAAGGTGGAGGAAGGTGTAAGACAACCGTAGTTCTTTCCTTGCGTTCACACAGGCTCACACATTGCACGCGCTCTAGCTTATGGGACATGATACCGGCTGCACAGTTCTTCCTGCATTCACTTTGTGTGCTTGGATAGTGAAAAAGGAGTAGTGCATCTATCATCAACAGAATGTTACATTCTTCTAATATGTGCACTTGTAAATTCATTTCATGTGAAAGACTCTACCTTTTATGCTTTTAGTCCCCTCATACAAATTGTTTCTTTTCTTGTTCAGATGTTTTTGTAACCTTTTTTCTTTTGCTGTCATTTGTCCTTAATGCTTTCCTTCTTTCTTTTTAATTTTCTGCTTCTCATGTGGAATAGAAGAACAATAAAAATGTGAAACTGAAAAGAGATGGTAAGGGTGGGCTGAAAAACAAGGATTCTGGTTTCATGAAGATGGGTGCAAAATTAGATTCTGGCTCTTTACAAAAGCAGTCTCCACTTTCAGAATCACCAGGACAAGATTTAGAAAAAAGTAGTGCCTTTGTAGGGAAGTCTGTGGCCAAAAAAAATACAATGAAAGGTAAATCTGAGCATGCAAGAAGTGTTAGTACTTTGAAAAGGGGTGTTCAACAAATTACTAGGGACAAATTAGCGAAAAGGGAAAAAGAATATGTGGAAAATCCTGAATTTGTCAGAGAGGAAGTAACTTATAATCTTCCCACTGAAAAACAAATTCTGACTGAAAAAACAAATTCTTCCAATAAAAAATCAAAAGCTGTTAAGTCTAAGCAATCCCTTAAAATAGATGTACTTCCTTCTGCAGCCAGGGATCTGCCCCAGACTGATTCATTAATTGTACAAAAATACAATCCTGTTAAAAAGCAAGGAAGTCAAGAAGCACTAGAAAGTCAAAACAAAATAAAGGATGTTGTTGAAAAATCTGATAAATGTGAAAGAATATGCATCAGAGGAGAAGAAAGTAGTGAAGAGCAGAGGGGTTTTAAAAAAAAGGATCAGTTTTTAAAACAACTAGCTGTAACTATGTCATCATCTTCATCTGAGGAAAGTAGTAATGATCTTGCAAAATACGTACATAAGAGTAGGGAAAAAGAAGAGGACTACTATGAAGACAGAGAGATCCAGAAGGCAATGAAAACAGGAGAAAATGTGAGAGATTTGGACACAGAAAAAGAAGACAGTGAGATTGAGGAGATGCAAGCTACAAACAACGAGAAAGAGTATGTAGAAGAGACTGATATAAAAAGTCTGAATGAGGAAGAAACAAACTCTGAAGCTAAATCTGATGAAGACAAGCAGTTAGAAATTAAGAACGAGGAGAAATCTAATCAAGAGCAGGAGAGTGAAGGCAGTGAAGAGGGTGAAAGTGAAAAAGAAAAACTAGATGAAACAGTTGACGGTGATGGTGAACTAGGGGAGGAAGAAGAAGAGAGTGAGGTTAAAAAAGATAGAGGTGAAGTTTCAGCAGAAAGAGATGAAGACAAAGAGGAAAAAGATAATAAGGAAGAAAATGAAGGAGAGGAATCACAGGCTGAAAGAGACAGTGAGAACGAGGGTGCAGAAGAGATTAATCAGGAAGATGGCAAAGAGCAAGGAGATGAGGAAGGCAGGTTGATGGAGGAAGAAATGCAGAGTGAGGGAGAAGACAAGGATATGGAGGAGGAGGAGTATGCAAAAGAGGAAGACATTGAAAAAGAAAAGGAGGAACAGGTTAAAAGTGAGGGAAGAGATGAGAGTGAGGAAGGAGGTGAAGATAGAGACGGGGAGGAAGAAGAAGAGGTAGAGGCAGAAGAGGAAGGAGAAGATGAAAAGGAAAATGAAGAAGAAAACAAAGAAAGGGAGAATGAAAAAGACAAGGAGGGTGAAGAGGAGTTAGAAGAATCATTGGCAAGGAGGGAAGAAGAAGAGGTATCCGAAGAAGAATGGGAAGAGGAAGATGCAAATAGGAGGACTAAGGAGTTGGGGGAGGATGGAGTGGAAGAAGAAGGAGAAGAGGGGGAAGATGAAGTGGAAGAGGAAAGAGAAGATGAGGAGGAGGAAGAGGAACGAGCAGAGGCTGAAGCAAAAGGGGAGGAGGGGGAAGAAGGTGAAAACAAGGAGGAAGAGGAGTGGGAAAATGAAGAAGAGGAAGAAGATGAAGAAGAGGGAGAAGGGGTGGAAGAAGATGAGGGAGAAAGGGAGGAAAGAGAAGAGGGAGAAGAGGGAATGGAAGAAGGAGAGGGAGAAGAGGGAATGGAAGAAGGAGAGGGAGAAGAGGGACTGGAAGAAGGAGAAGAGGGAGTGGAGAAAGAAGAGGGAGAGGAGGAAGAGGGAGAGGAGGAAGAGGGAGGGGAGGAAGAAGAGGAAGAGGGAGGGGAGGAAGAAGAAGGGGAAGAGGGAGAAGAAGAAAAAGAGGAAGAGGGAGAAGAGGAACAAGAAGGGGAAGAGGGAGAGGGGGAAGAAGGCGAAGAGGAGGAAGGGGATGTGGGAGAGGAGGAAGAAGAGGATGAGGGAGAGGAGGAAGAAGAGGATGAGGGAGAGGAGGAAGAAGAGGATGAGGGAGAGGAGGAAGAAGGAGAGGAAGAGAAAAAAGCAAAATGTAAAAGAAAAAATGATAGTAATAAGCTTCCACAAAAGAAAAGCAAAACCACAAAGGCAGGGAAGACAGAAAGTGCTGCTTTACCAAACAGCTCTAAACAGAAAATGAAGTCCAAACAGCATGTAGTAAATGGTTTACATAATTCAGAACAGTTTTGGAACAATGTGCTACCTCATTATTTAACACTAAAGTAGCATAGATTACTGGAGATGCATTTTAAGCCTATTCAGGAAACTTTGGAACTATGGCAGATTGATTTTTATTACTTAAAAAAATTTAATGTAGTCAAATTATATTATTATACATATACTTTAAGTGCCAATTTGGGAAGCTTTTATGAGAGAAATAATGTAAATTGTTGATACAGTCATTTGCACAATCACTTTTCTCAGGTATGACACAGATTTAAAAAAATAATTGCTGAGGAGGCAAAATGTGTTTGCCTCAATTAAATTATAATGTCATGCTGACAACATGAATTATACATTGTAACAGTGTTATCTTCTTTGCCTTTGAATCAGATTTCTTAAGGTAATGCATCTGTTTTAGGTGCAGGATAGCTTACTTGTTAATGTGCCTTACACGAGAGGAGTGTCAGTAAATCATCAAAGATACGTATTTTTAAATTTTGGTATCACTGTGTATTCATTCTCTGTAGTTTCCTTCTGTTCATATATTGATAAAATGTTTGAGTACTCAGCGTAAATTAAAGAAAGGACAAGTTGCCAAATTTACATGAGTCTGTAGATGAGACGTAAATGGCAATACAAGCCTGGGTAAATGGTGGCCTGGGCTTTTTTGAAGGCCTTAAGGTTGACTTCTTATTTTGGTGTCAGCACACAATTGTCTGCAAAAAGACAAATACAAGTCTCAGAATCTGACGTAGATTATATTAGAATCAGAATGCATCTGTTCAGGGATAATTTTTGACTATCACATTTGGTGATTAGACATAATTAAGAATTTGGAAATACACATGTGTAAAACATTATTTACTTGTGTATACTGTGCAATAAGCAAAAGATTAAATATCTGCCTACAAAAGACTAGATTACATTAGTCATCTAACTCTAAGGTTCTCAAGGAGGGGAATATACTTTGTTGCAGTGTGAAGTGTATATATGTTTTCAGGATCAGAGCCTAAGCTTCTCTTCATTGGAGGAGATTTGTGTTTTTCCCTCCTAAAAATCACATCTGTGATCTCCAAAAAGAGGATGATGTAATAAACCAAGAAGCCAGATGGAATAGTACAGAAAATGGCATGAAAGTCTGAATTCTTTTTGGAAAAGACGAAGTATGTTAATACTTCTGGAGTTTCCCTAAAATATGCAAACAAATCTTGCAAATTATTTTTGTGACTTTGTAAGATATTGCATTAGTGTTTCAACTATTAGTGGTCGAACTGGCAAAAGAAGGGATAGGCACGCGTCATACAGCATTATTACTTAAATACTGTGGGTGGTCTGAGAAATTTTTGTAAACAGATCTCACTATTGACATTCTCTAGAAAAATAGCTATTTAAATCCTATTTGAAAATGAGGACAGGAGAAAAAAGGAATCAAAATGAATAAATGTCATTCAATAAAAATGTTAATAGATTAAATGTTAATGAGATTATGAAACATTTTTAATGTTGTTTTGTAAGATACTGGCATTAAACTATCTTTGACACAATGTCTCCAGAATTTATTTTTAAAAAGGCTGTAGTAGATTAATAGTTTGCCAGTAGATTCTAGTCCAGTTTGATCCTTCTTACCTCAGTCACCCCTTCCATATACCGCATTTGAAGGTAAGATCACTTTCAGTCATGTGCTGTATGCCCTAACTGTAGCAAAAAGTTAGTCCAGTGATTGTATTTTGTCCCTGTGAAATTTATTTCAAGCTTTGGGATTTTGTGGAATACGTTGTCTTGACATCAGCATCATAAGTCTTTGGAGAAGGGTAAGTATCCTCATATTCTGATAGAGTGCAATATTTTAACAGTTAAATGCACTTCCCAAAAAGCCAGCTGTCTCTAACAACAGAGTCCTCGGTTATTTAGCAGAAGTGCTGCGTTATCACTGAACTGCTGTGAAAATACTTGGTTTTGAAACTAAGTGGAACTAAGCTGTGCTATTTTGTCTTTCTTAGGAAAGATTAGGATGTTACTGTGATTAAACTTAGAGTAATATTGAAAAGTATTTTTATAGGCCTAAAACTGTGTTTCTTGGATATGACATCTATTTATTTGTGATTCTAAAATTCAGCTTTGGAAGAAAATTGTGCTGTGAAAAAAATCTGTTATTTCTTATGAAAAATATTTGCTAGAGAGAGGGGAGAAAAGGGAGAGCACTTTGAAGCAAGCAATTTCCAATTCTGCATAGGAATGGCTCTTCATTTACTATTTGGCTGTAGCTTTTAATCTAAATCCTTAGGCAAATGGGGACAATTTGTTGTTCCTCTCTTAACATGTGCTGATAGCATAAGGCTTCCCAAGAGAGTAAAGGAAGCCAAGTTACGGGCATCTCCTCGTCTTTGTTTTGTCTGGATAAAAATTCATTGACTTGAGAACCAATTTTATATTGTTTTGTGGATCGTTCCTGTGGTAAGGGAAAAGCAGAGCATTACTCCAGCACTTCTAAGGGTTTTCCACAGAATAGTTACATAAATTGTGCACTGTGCCAATGTTTCTGGGCTTTGGGGGGACTCTGGAAATCCATTAGCATAATGAGTGGAATTTTATTTAGTTTGACTCATACTGGTTTATAAAGTTTGGTACTTGTGGTTTTGTGGAAATTCAGTATGTCCTTGGTATTTATTATGGAATACAAAAAGATTTATGTGCAGTACTTAAGCAACATGGCAGAAGTACTCCTGAACTAGTTTTTAGTAGAGAAAAAATATCCTTCAATAGAGAAACAACAGACAACTGCTCAGACCAAAGGTCTATCTAGTCCAGTACCTTTTTTCTACCAGTGGCTATGGGTCAATGCCTGGCAAAAAAAAAACCAAGAATAGAGCAAACATGTAGTGCTACTTCTCCTGTGTATTACACATTCAGTATACCGAATATATTCAGTATATTCAATAATCTGAATATATTCAGTATATTCCGTAATCTATGGTTCAGAAGATGTATCTATTGTATTTAATAGCCATTTTTTCCCCATTAATTTCTTTCAGTCAGTTTTTAACCTGTTTAGCATCCAGTACGTGTTTTGGCAAACAATTCTTAGATTACTTTACATGTCATTTGAAGAAGTAACTCCTTTTTATTGTCTTGAATCTGTTTTTTGGTACCTTCATTTGATGTCTCTGTATTCTTGCATTAGAAAAAACAGCATTTATTCCCTCTTCATGATTTATTCCCTCATGATTGTCACATGGAAAAACTGTTCAGCTATGTGGTTTAAATCAAATCGAGATCAAGGTGGTTTATTCATTTATTAATACCAGCTAACCAGCAATCAACCAACTACACGTTCAAGATGAAGAGCGGCAATACAGCAGGGAACAAGAACGCTAGACATCCATAAATTAATAATAAATTAATCCATCCATAAATTAATAAGCACCTGCAAATTTCTAAGCACCCGCTAATCTCGGAAGTTTTAATCCCCCTGCACACTCTCACATACATGTTCACAGAATTACATATTGCACATACTGCCTTTTATAGCAGGCATGAATTACAAGCACATATCCCATTTTCGGGGGGCGGGATGCAAGTCTGCTGTTGGCACACACCTCCTGTTAGAGATGAGGGTGCTCTAGGTTACTTTTGAATACGCTGTAGCAGAACTCTTCGCTTATGCCTGCAAAATTTCAGCAGTTAAATTTTGCCATTATATCTGAAAATATCAAACTATTTTTTCAGATAATAGTTCTCTCTGCATAATTGATGCTGAATAACAAAAATGTCTTTCTCCAAACTACAGAAAATATCTGGGTTTCATTCACTATTTTTTGTCCCAGTGTCTTATCTGGATAGGTACATGGTTATTCTTTAGAATGGGGCTTTTAGGAATCATACAGAAAAGGACATTTAGTTTTTGTTTCCATTGCTTTTAGTTTTTTTCCCTGGTGCTTCTTAGCTTTAGCCACCTTTTAAGATAAATTTTAGCTTACTTTCTTCAAAGATGACACTACCTTCTAGATCTTACCTCTCAGAATAGCAAACAGTCTTTTATTTTTATTAATTGAATTTGTGGTGTGAATCTAGTAATTTGACAAAAGTGTTGTTAAATACTCTAAAACAAGTGAGAGTGATTAAAGGCAGAGCATCTTTTTTAATGCAAATTGAGTTGTTTCTTAGTGCATATAGGCTAGATTTATGAACCGTGTACTCACCTAAACTTCTGTGTATTGTCTTTAATTTTATAATGAGTATTATGGGAAGCAGAATCAAGCTCAGACATAACAGGATCTTCAGACAAAAGAATGTTGTCAGATCTGTAAAAAGGCAAAAAAGGGCAACATAAATGTAAAAGGGCAAATTCTGAACTCATTTCTAAATGTGCAATTCAGATAAATGACAGTCCTGTGGCATTCTATGAGCAACTGAGCAAATATTTTGCTTGCACAAATAGCAAATCTATAGTTTTGTCCTCAGTTAAGTTCTGAGTGTGTTTGTGATCTGAAGCTACTCACGGAGTTGTAATATTTTTATACACTTATTCATATGTTTTAATGGAGAAAGGAGAGGTTTGCTTTTGCATATTGAAAGGATTTTGGAGAGAGAGCTTTGGCGTCAGAAGATTGCGCTGCTGAGAGCTACAGAGGCTTTATTTTTCTGTTGCAAAAAGAAAAAGCAAGTACACTTAATCGCTGTCTTTTTTAAGGATTTGTGATAGTGCCCATTGCTTCTCTGCTTGGCAACCTCATGCTATAATAATTTAAACAAATGTTAATACTGTTATCTCAAAAAACCATACTTAGTTATGAAAATATTTATTATCAGGGTCCTGAAATGTCAAGTGTAAAGATATTTACCATTCCGGCTTTCATAAATGTCCCAGCACTGAAAAATCAGACATGATTCTTTGCTCTTTCTGTCTGAGGTGGGTCGCAGGGCAGTCTGCTGGGATGTCCCAGGTTCAACATTATGGGTTTACAGCTTCATAATTTCTCATGTGTCCCTCACCTTTCACACAGAGTTGCATTTGTGGTTTGTGTGAAATGTAAAGTATTTGTGGTTTCATATTGAGAATGTGA